CCGCGGCCACGCAGCATACCGCCCAGGGGGGCGAGACGCAGGCGGTCGCTCTGGGTCCGGGCTGCAATTGTTCCCCTTCTCTTGTTCCGCTTCTAGTTGTGCACCACAGGATTTCAATAACTTAGAAGTTGCTGTATAAAAACGATTCGAGAAACAACTCCCTTCTTCAAGGGACATCCCCCGCTCCCACCCCCGGACACGGTTTTTGCTCACTGACAACAGAAGTCACACTAAATCACATCAGAAACCGCAGCTGCGCCCCTGTGCCTTAATCCAGGCTAACGTGCATCAGAACGTTGTGCAGCGTGGCATCCTTCGATTTCCTCATCTTCTCAATGGCCCTGTGGAGATCCTGCTGCTGCACGGGCCGAATTTCATCTTCGTCGTGGCTTTAAAAGAGAGGAAACAGGCAGGGTGAGCGATTCAGGCGCCGTGCGACAGCTATTCCGACCAGGGGACGGAATCGGGAAGGAGCAGCCCCGACGCGGAGCCAGCGTTACGCTGGCAGCACACCGCTCTCCGCACGCGCGCTTCCTGCGCGAACGGGAGATAACCGGGGAGACGGCGGCGGCGGAGTTACACGCAGGCAAGAGCATTACCGACGTTGAAGCCGGGTAACGTCACGCAGCGACAGCTCTTGTCAGCTCCCACCACCCCGGGCCTGACGCCTTGGAACACGCGGTCTTCTTCTCACAGTTAGAATAAATAACGGTCACGTATTGTTTGGGGTTTTTCCCACTGCACAGCAGCAGTTTGCCCAGAGAAGGAGAACCTCCTGCTCACTGTGAATCACAGCAAGGGTTTTTAAACCCCTGTAAATCCGCGATTCACATCGGGAAACACAAGAAGTGGGCAGCGTGCAGCATGCGGCACGCTCCCAACGGCCGTTCGGCTATCGTAACAGACAGAACAAAGACACCTACGTCTCTTCCTCGCAGGCAGAATTAACATATTCCCTGACACAGAGGAGAGCTGCATCCCGGCACATTTCTTTCAGGTCGCTGCCTGAGAAGCCGTCGGTCTCTTTGGCAACCTCGAGGAGATCTACGTGCCTGTCCACCTGCTCAAAAAAAAACACAGAGGCGAGAGCATGAACACTCTGGAGACATTGACCTGGTCCTACAAGAAGGAAGAGTCACCTCTCACTACTTTCATCTGCCCTGAGATGATGATCTTCAGTCTTGGCTGGTTTTTTGGAGAGCCAAAAGCAAGTAATTTCATTAACTCACAGTTCTGAACTCTCCAAGTAGTTCATTTCAATAAGTCAAACCAATGTTTCAGCTGGCAAAACTCTGAGGCTGATAAAACCCCCCAAAGACTGAGCAGGCGGCTGAGAGCACGCCATCCACCGTGCTGGTGTATTCTGCTGCTGACAGAGCTCCCATGGGGCTGTGGAAACCTGGATGGCCAGAACTGGGTCGCCCAAACGTCCACACTAGTTTCCTGCAACAACACTGCCTTTTTTTGTTTTGGTAAAGGGCTGAACCTTCAATTTAAAACCTAATTTAAGTAGCTACGTGCCTCTCCGCAAACAATGACCGCTACCCAAGGGGTCTCCTTCCGGACACGGCCCTTTTCTAATAGGCCATTTGAAACGCTTCCCTCGCCCAGCAGCTGAGCGAGGCCGGGAAAGCTCCCGTCGCGTCACGTTTTGTCGTTGCGCCCTGTCAGTGAAGACAAAGAACTTCCAAAGCCGTTGTCGGCTCCCTCAGCAACTCAGTTGTCCACTGGGTTACCCAACAAGTGCTCCCGCTTTACACGACCCTAAAACGGAGAACTTGGAGGCAAAACCAGGTGTCCAGCTGCGTGCGCTGGGTCAGACCAGACTCATTCCGGCCAAGACTCCACAGGTACTCAGCCTGTTTACAGAACCTCCAAGAGCAGCCCTCCCTGGCACATTCTGCAATGCATCCGTGTTTCAGTCAAAGCCAGACTGGTCTAATGAAAGGCTGAACCCAGGCAGTGACTTCCGAGAAGGAAACTATTCCGTGGGGATGAAGGCAGAGTCCCAGGTGCGATCTCTGCGGCTTCCAGCTACCCCTTCGACCCGCACTCTCCTCTGGAGAACCCGAGGACACGCTGACATCCACCGAGCACCTTTCCCGTTCCCCACCATCCCCCCACTTGTCTTGAAGACAAGGGTTAGTGATGCCGTCCTGCTGGGTCATATCTTAAGCCCCAATCCCAGAGGGTTTGGAGCGAGGCAGACGGCTCCCCAGGCATGGAAACGAAGGCAAAAGCAGCACCTGGCTGGGATCAACGTGTCTCCTGCAGACAGCACAGCCTGGCTGTCTCCAAGTGCTTTGCTTCGACGCATGATCCTGCGCACAAATACAAAGCCAGTAACCCTCCGCTGTGGCTCTGCAGCGTACTTGGTCAACGTGGGGCTAAAGGCCATCGCGAGCTGGAGTAGTGCGGCTGGCTAAGAGTCAACAGCCACCGGACATGCCACATAGCGGGCATGGAAAAGGATTTCCCTTTGAGTGAGAAGGAAGAAACAAGGTTTTAAGACAAGCAGGAAAAAGGGAGGGCAGGATTACACCAGCCATGGGAAGAACTGCCAGGAAGTTTGTCACCCCGGCTGAAAATAAGCTCAGTTTGGGGGACCAAATTCTTTCTACTTTGGGATACCCAGTACAGGCCGATTTTTGTCTCCCCTCTTCAGAAAAACATTGCTTGTGTGGCTGCGATTGACTGCCAAGCGCTCGATACACCTTGCCTTCTTTCAGGCCTATTCAGCAGCTGCTGCAGGTTTACGCTGAAGGCCTCCAGGCCAAGCTGGTGCAAGGCCCAGGCCCAGCCGCCGAGGCCAAGGAGCCCCAGAGTCCGCTGGCGTGCAAGGGCCAGGCGGCTGCAGACATTCAGGGAGCCTGCATAAAGGGCTGTTATTCAGCATATGTCCCCAGCAGCTCTCGGAGAGAAACCCGAGTCTGAAATCCCCCTTGCAGGGGACGTTTTAGGTTGAGATTTTCTGCAAATAGGTCAGCTCTTCCTCCGTAACATTTCTGGCATTTCAACGGCAGTTCTGTTTTCACATCTAAATCTAGTGTTTTGCAAAAAACCACACCCTGTATTCCAATCCTATACAAACAATCCATTTGCAAAGCAACCTCCCCAGTATCTCAGCCATTCGTAATGATAAGCTGTGATTTTTAGGCCTCTTAAAAATCTAAGTTGGTTTTACTAACGAATCGTATTTATCAGGATGGACCTCAAGCAAGGGACACTTTGCAACATTAACTTCAAGGCAGCTAATTCTGCAGACTACATTTGGCAGGAACCTCCGACAGCATCAGTCCCATACCCTGCCAACAGACACCACCAGGTGTGCTCGCACCTACCCCTTCCCCTCATCCTGGAACGCAGACAGTGACACAAACACCACGCAGTATTAGCGACAACATCCATAGTAGTTTTCCTCTAAAGGAAGTATGAGCTATGGGTTAAAGAGACAAAAGCAGCACTGTCAAAAAACGTCATTCCTCCTTGCTTGACTTGAGCCAACAGACTGTAGAGAGTTAAAAAAAAATACAGTATCTCCTCTCCCTGCTTCATAATGTCTTGAAATTTCTTTCACTGATCAAAGTGATTTCCAAACATGATTCATCTTTGGCAACTTTAGAGAGATAAATATATTGTCTTGTTATATAACAAGAAAATGGAGAGAGAGAAATTAAGTAATTTTCCCCGGAGAGGGTGATTCACCACAAAAATCCAAGACTGCTGCTCTGACTGAGGCTCATGCTTAAACCAGCAGGCAACAATGCTGCTGCTTTAATTTCACGCCACACCTAAAACCACAGAAGATTCTTAGGTTATAATCAGACGTACCCTGGTAGATAATCTCTACCTTACTCCAAGGCAGTCAATTATAAAACATGTTTTCTGCAACTCCGGAGCTTGCACTCATGGAAACAGTAATATGGCAAATTAACCATGCAAGAACCCTACTTACGTTTTCATTTTTCAAAATTAGCTTCAGGATTGCTTCTCTTTGTTTCAGAGCCTTAAACAAAAGAGAGTAAAGTTACTAGTGTAGAAACCAAACACACGTAACATCTACCTCGAGCTTGCACAACATGGGTTTTCCGTCACCACTCAGTGCCCCAAGCTGGGCCCTCAAACGGGAGACGTGATACACATGAAGGAAACCCATCTGATGACAAATCACTCACCAAGATGAGATCGAGGGTACTCTGACTTCAGGAGCACGTGAAACTAAACATCTGGGCGTATACATTTACACTAACTACAGGGAAAGGGAAAACGCACTGACATTTAGTCTTACTTTGCCCTAAGGGAAAGCGGCAGTCTCCAAAGATTTCCCATCATCTTTAACGGAGGGCAGACCCTCTAGATCTAGGGGATGCTTTCAATAGTTTGCTAAATCCCACACCTGTTCTGCTTAAAAAAAAAAAAAGACCAATTAAATTCTACGGATGGGAAATTTAAAACAATATAGATCACAGCTGTTTTTTTTCAGTAACCTCATCACAGTGTAAGTCCTGAGCATATCCTTAATAGCCAGGTACAACACAGGCAGCAAAAAGGTTCTTTTTTTGTGTCTCCCCAAACCACACTTGTCCTAAATCCACTTTTGTTGTTATAAAGGGGAAAAACTACCCCATAGATTCTCTGGCAGCTGAAGAGTTGGCATTATCGCTACAAAAATACTTCTTCCGTTTCCCTCTGGCTTGCAAATAATTTCTTATGAGTAATTTTGGGCATTTTAATCTCAAACTCAGCTATAAAATCCACAAGGCTTTAGCTACTCCGCAGCAACAGTACCTGTGCACACTTCCAATCCACAGTACACGAGTTACCTCGGCCCTCAATAAAAGACTTGTAACCAATCTGGGTTGTACTGCAAAGTACCGCAGACAAGGGGTAAGTCGACACAATGGCTGTAGCGAGGCGCGGAAAGTTACGTGCCTGTGACCTAAATGACACCTCCTGTTGTAATTCTGATCCTGGGAGAGGGAGCCAACCCTGTAATATCCTGAGGTGCTGTTACCTGGCGATGATTTGCCATTCTAACAACAGTTCTTGATAGAAAGACACGATGAAGTATTAAAATACAAATCCTTGCTTCTTAGTGATTGATGGAAAACCTTGGAGATGAGTAAGGCGTATGGAACCCAGTGAGCAGGCATCGCAGAAAAGCTCTTACTAGGTTATAAATGCTTTGTTTCAAAAAGTCTCTGCCCACGAGGAGTGCAAGCCAGTTCAAACAAGATGGGCCTGGGAACATGACTACTCTCTTGCACAATCACTAAGCGTTCTACTCCTCCGGTTTTGTTCCCAAGTTTCTGCAGAAAACGAGTAACAAAGGGTATCTCTGCAGCCAGAAGGGAATACTGACAACCACAACTGAACTCTCTGTAGCACTGACACATGTAATATTGCTCTTGTCTTGTGATACCGGTAAGTGTTCCAAGGAACTAAAACGCCTTGAAAAGGCCGGCAGTAGCAAAACTTACAGTTAGGGCAACCTTGCGATGGCTGCTGTGCCTTAACCGCCGCCTCTTCGGCACAGATCCTAAGTGGAGTAAAAACAGTGTTCCCGGCTGCCTGCAGTGCCTGACTGCAGAAAGGCTTGAGAAGAATGCAGGCTTTGGTATGCAGGTTCCACTCCCTCTCCTTGAAAACTCAATGCTGTGTATCGAGCAGGTGTAAACGGTAGCCAGTATGTACCTGCCTCTTGACACGACCTGACCCAAGGGCCACTCTCCCCCGCGGCAAGCGTGTGCTCTTTGTGGCCGTCTTCAATTTAAAACTAAGCTCTTTCCAGGGCGCAGTGTCTGAGCCCCTCCATTCTTACATGGGAGGACAACGGGCGGGAAGCTCTCAGAGCACATGGAGTTGTTTCAGGTAAAAGACCCAAGGAATCACGATTTCTGTGAGAAACCTCACCTTAAAAAGCAAAGTTACATATGTACTTCTAAAAAGCTAAAACCAGATCAAAACAATAATTTCTTTGGGAAAAAAACAACCACCAAAACCAGAGATATGCATTTGCCTGGCTGCAGCTCAGCCACTAGACACACGGTTCAGGTAAACCAGGCAGGACTTACAGGTTGGTTGATGTGAAACCGGGTCGGCATTCTTCTCATGATTGCAGAGTCAAGATCCTGAGGACGGTTGGTGGCTCCCATCACTATGACCTGTATACACCAACAGAAAAAACTGCATTGGAGTTTCAAAACCAAGCATGTGACACTTTATCAAGAACATCGACGTCTGAAGAAGTTACATAAAGTTTCCTGGTACTGATTTCTGCAGCTGGATTTACACAGGCGTCTCAAGAGAGCATTGGTAGCACAGAGTGCCATCCAGCTGGAGACTTGTACACTCATCTGAAGCCAATTTGGAAGTTCAAACTCTTAAGCAGTAACCCCAAACTTCCATTTGTAAGCCTTAGCGATGTCTCTTTAGTTCCTGGTGGTCTGGAAGGAACTCGTAAAGAGGCGTTTTGATAAGGTATTAAAAAACGTCGTGTTTTTGTGCTGTGTTGAAAAAAGAAAGGCAACCGGTTCACCAGGATGACCAAACCAGCAGCTTTCCCATGCACTAAAATGTTGTTTATTTCTTTTCTTTTTTTTTTTTTTAAGCATTAAAGAAAAGCATTAGAGGTTGATAAGAGCCTCTATGCGCTGGTATACTGTCACAGCAGCACGTTAGATGTGTATGAGCCAAGTTCAATACAAGGAGAGTATTTACCTCGTTTGACCATGTTCCAGTTATTAGTTTAAGAACAAATTTACTCCCCATTCACGACAGCCTTGTTTTCTCATTTGTTATTTTAAGTTATGTACATTGCAAATACCCAGTCACGACGGTGAAATATGTCAAGCAAATTAATCTCTAGTCAATAGAGTTTCTTGACATGCTTCTGGCCTTTTGTCCCGGGTCATTGTTCCGCAGCCAGCCCTGGCAGCGCCAGCGGTCCTGGCCAGGCTGGGTGGCGTGTTCCAGAGCAGAGTCACCCTGCCACCTAGAGGCTTAATTACATGGTGGCAAATTTCTACAGGTTAAAAGCCAAAAGGTGCATTTTTTCGCCATGGCTCTGGCAGTCTTCACCTCCTCGAAAGCGTCAGGCGTGCAAGCACATGGCCAAACACCAGCTCCTGTCCGGCTGAGCTGCCTTTTGCAAAGGGACTTCCCTGCACCCATGCTGTGCTTGCCCGTGGTCCGCATCAAGGCCCAAGGCTGGACCCGAAGCGTTGCTCCCTCCGTGCTACTGGAGCTGAGGAGCCTTCCCAAAACCAGCTCTGTGCGCAGGTTCTTCGAAGGTGGGACTCCACACAGGTCACAAATGCGGCTGTACAGGGCTTCCAAACCTGAACCATCCCTCGAAGCAGCACAGCTTTGCTCTCCAGGCACTGCGCCTGCCAGACTCCAGAATATATATCCTTGGCAGGTTTAGCCCAAAGATGAATGTGGTTTTCAGGCACCATCAACACAGGAACAAGTACCATTCATCGCAACGCTTATTTATACAATTTCTTGCTAGCATTTGGAATTTTTGTTACTGTAAGAAAAGCCAAATTTAATCCTTATTCAAAGGAAATGGTGGTGAAGCACTGCGACAGGCTGCCCAGAGAACCTGTGGATGCCCCATCCCTGGAAGTGTTCAAGGCCAGGCTGGATGAGGCTTGGAGCAACCTGGTCTAGTGGAAGGTGTCCCTGCCCATGGCAGGGGGGGGGGGACTAGATGATCTTTAAAGTCCCTTCCAACCCAACCCGTTCTATGAAATCTGTTTGGCAAGAATCAGACAAGCAAACCAAAGCTCCCAAGTAAACACTCGTAATTAAGAAGAGCACCCAGCGAGCTGGCTGTCAAAAACTGAGACAATATAAGTGTCAAAACCATGGCTTAAACAACTATTCCTGAAATGCAGTCATGTCTCAGGGGGCAGCCTGAAATTTTCTGCTGAAAAGCTCCCCAGAAACCTCATCAACCCCTGCAGTGTTTCTGGTCAACTGCCTGCACTGCGTTCTTCTTTAGTGGCTCCTTCCCCGCAGAGGCACAGGGCAAGAGTGACCTGCTGAGGCTCTGTACGCTGAATTCACGAGATGGCTAAGCCCACATACTGTCTTACTGCAGGGAAGGAACAATTTGACTTGCTCCAAGAAGCTGCCAGTATACCAGGGAGAAAAAGTAACACATTCAAGCGCTTGCAAGGTCCTGTTAGCATCCACTTGAGCCTTCATACCACTGGCCTCTTATTAACGGCAAGCAAACGGCCAGCTGTAAAGCTCCTTGGGGTGTATACTGACTGCGTTCCAACCGGTTTTTACAGAATCAACAGGAAAAAAAAATCTTTAGCACAAGCTTGAGAGAGGAGGAAGAGCAGATTTTGCAAAGAAAGAACAAATGGAGGCGAGAGCACTGGAACCCATTCACAGGAAAATACAGATTTAAAAGGCTGAAAATTTTAAAACTGGAGACTAAACATCCCTTTCAAAGGCCTTCAAGGATCACTCCCGCTGACAGTTCCGAAATGTGCCGAGCAGGCTTTCGTCTATGCTGCAGTCAAGTAATTCATTTCATAAATGGGTTTTGACAGCACCAGCAGCTTTTCTAATTCTTTTCCTCTCTCCAAAACAGAATACTTCTACCGAGATTATGGGAGAGGTTTGGAAGTGTACAGGAATGACAGGAGGAAGGCACGGCTCCATTTCATACAACTTCTCTTTTGATAATGTCAACTTTCTCTCCTTTCAAATTAACTCCTAAGTCTAGTGCTAGTCTTTTATGGAATCAAACCAATGCTTTTCGGGAAACAAACCAAGCAACCTGCAGCAGTGATGCATATTCAGGAAAGGTACTGAAAGGTCTGAGATCAAAGATTCACTTCACCTGAAGAAAATATTGTTGACGAGATCTTTTTCAAAACAGTTTAAAACTTCCCAGTTTTATTAGCTACGTTACTGAAACTTGAGAGACTTCTGAAAATAACACCTCTTAATTAAAACCACAGTACCTACAAAAACAGTCTTCTCAAGAAGAAAAAATGATCTATTAATGTAACTAATCTCATTCCCACAATATACTGGTAATGACTACTGCTCTTCTGGCGATTATTTCTACCTGCAGTCTGCTCTCTCCCCCAAGGCTCAGTGCACAGTAACAGAGAGGGAGGCAGCATGTGACTTTTCTTGATATCCTTTGCACTTACTTGGCAGTTGTAATCGGTGTCCAGTCCGTCCCACAGACTCATGAACTGCGCTTTCATCATAGCCGTAGCTTCGTGGTCAGAACTCGACCGACTGCGTAAGAAGGAATCTGTACAAAAGGATTCAGTAGAGCACTTTACTCCCAATCCTGTCACAGAAACCATGCTGTTTGACTTCCCACGTGCCAACTCGTGCTGTTCTCTATCTTAGTTCATACTTTTAAAATAAATATTATCAACAAACAAAAAATACTTCTTACTATGAAGAACAGGAAAGGGAAATCTCACCATATTTTTAAGAATATCTTTTAAACGACATTAGACGAGAGGTTTAGCTATCACATGAGATTGTCCCAAATCTTGCACTCCAAATTTTCACCTTCCTGAACTCATGGAAAGTGTAACTTTCACCTTAATTTCTCATGCAGAGATGAAAGCATGTCTGGCAAGCTAGAAGACACTGAAGCACAGGAGAACAGCAAGCTGCAGGACTGACGTGAAGGAGGTTATAAACTTTGCTATGCAGAGCTCTAACTCTGCTACTGGTTCCAACAGCTAGAAAACCCCCACATTTGTCACATCTGCACAAAAGGATAAAAAGCGTCTCAAGAACACAGCCCCTTCATAAAACTGAACCACAGAGAGGGTAAAAGCTTCGTCGGGTGCTGTTCCCACTCACTGTACAACTCACTCTGAGAGGTGCCAGTGCTACAAGACAACGAGCAATTTTAACTAAACTGCTGAAGTTCACAGGAACTTCAAGCACCCATGTGACAAGTGCAGATGCACTGAACAACTGGCACCTTTGCTGTCTTCCTAGTGAACTTCCCCTCCTATTTCTCCAGTCTTAAAACTATCATTCCTCAGCTCTCCTAAACCTGTTTTATTTCCCACTATGTGCCCTCGCGGCAGACGTGTTGAAGTGTATTTGGTGATGGGTTTCCTGAATAAGCAGTTCCCCTGAAAGAAGAAAAGCTTTCCTCATGAACCACCTTAACTCAACCAGATATTAGTGGCGACTTGTTTGGCTTGTAATTTCCTCCACTAACATGAGCAAGAAATATACTGGTTTTCCTAATTTGCCACCATTACTTTACAACACTATTTGTATGACTAAACCTTGCTCCATTAATCACTGTTTTAAAGGAAAACATGACAGTAGATCAACATAGGCACCAACTTGAACCTATAATGTCACTCTGCTATAGTTACTTACAAAAAAAGATGGATTTTTACCTATTTCGTCAATAAAGATGATGGATGGTTGGAGCTTTATCGCCAGGGAGAAGACAGCAGCAGCCAGCTTCTGAGACTCCCCATACCACTTGTCCGTCAGTGTTGAAGGCTGGAGATTAATAAATCGACAACCAGCTTCCTTGGCTGTAGCTTTGGCGATCAGCGTCTTGCCACAGCCAGGAGGGCCATAGAGAAGCACTCCTGAAAAAGCAACGGCGTTAACGCTCTCCGGTCGCTGCACGGGAAACACGCTTTGCTATGACAGACCTGACAGTGTCCAGGCTTGTATTTTATCCAAGTTTTAAAAGATAAGAAACCAAGTTACAGAGTGTCCCATCAAACCAAATACAGAGCTGTTTAAGACAGCCGTATTCTAAAATTAAAGCTAAGAATATCCAAAACAGGAATTGTGAAATTGAAGGGAGACATTTGTCTGAAAGGTGACTGTTTTATTACCGTGACTGTAAAGGTTACATAGAACTAAAGCCCTATTTATTTCCTGTAAGCATTTCACAGGCCTTGTTTATCGCCAGTTTCAGCCTTGCTAATAAAACTTAGCGGGGGAGGGGGGGGGAAGGGGAAAAGCCTACAAACATTTTAAACAGATTATCCACAATTACCATATGACGTATTAATTTTAAACTTGTCGTGGTGTTTTTCGAACATTGTTGTAAAGAAAACAAATGAAGTCAAACGAGCCTGAAACACATAAGAATTACCAGGGGTTGGGGTTTTTTTTTTTTCCTGCTTATGTGACTGATGACCACAAACATGATTACTCTGAAGCAATGACCTCCTATTAACACACACTGCAAGCCACTAATAAAACTGGGGAGCTGGCCCTGTATGGAAAGTCTGATTTAAAAAGATAAATTAAAAAAATCATTTTTTCCTTCATCTATTGGATCATAACATGAAAGTAATTTTCCAGACAGCTTAATTTGTTACTTAAACAGAAAGCCTGGAAAAACTAAACCAGCTATAGAAGTGCTTCATTTTCCATCACTTAGGACAGGAAACTGAGATGGTCACAGGTACAGACAGTAATTAACAGCTTTCAGAGAATTTTCAGAAGGCAATATTCCAAGGATTAGAATATTAATCCAAGGATTAGAGCCGTGAAGATAGACTTTGGCATTTTGTCCAGCATTTAGGTTCAAATTCTGCTTATTTGCTGTAACGTACAGCAAATTCCAGCAGAGAGAGTCCAAATTCTGTTGTGCTGTCAGAAAGTTAATTTGTCACCCACTGTTTTCCTTACTGCTGCAATACTGCACGGCTCAGGTCCAGAGGAAAAATCATAGAATCATAGAATCACAGAATGGTTTGGGTTGGAAGGGACCTTAAAGATCATCTAGTTCCAACCCCCCTGCCATAGGCAGGGACACCTTCCACTAGACCAGGTTGCTCAAAGCCACATCCAGCCTGGCCTTGAAGATATCCAGGGATGGGGCATCTCAAGGGATCTCCAGAATAAAAATGGGATCTCTGTCTCTCTGAATGGCTGGAATTTCTAGGACTAGAGCAGGGTGTCTGCAAGATTAGCTGACACTGATGTCTCATGTTTATGACTTAAGTTTCTATGGCGCCACAGAAACATTAACCAAGTGTACAAAGCTGTACAGCAGAGTTAGAGCCGCGTACGCCAAAGGACAAGATTGGGTATAAGAAGAAAAAAAAAAATCAACAATTTAGGCAGTTAAAAATGCAGGCTACATAGATGAGTGTACCAAAATGTAGTATCAATAACTGAAAAGCAGCTGTCATTTCATTATTAACATGAAACTTAATCACTAGAACTCGATTTTACAGCAAGGGAAGAGGAAAAACCTGAGGGTTATTCCCTGGCATCAGTCCTAATGGTTGAACTTTGGACTGGCAACCCACTTCCGCTTTCCTTTCTGGGCAATTTTAACTGTTTGTTTGTATGTTTGTTAATACCAACGTGTAAATCCCTAACGTTTCCTTCCTACCTTTTGGTGGCTGTAAGAGCCTGGAATTCTCAAACAAGTATTTCTTCTTGATGGGCAAAATGACAGTGTCTTTCAAATCTGTAATGACATCATCTAGGCCTGCAATATCACTCCAGGTTACCTAATACGGAAAAACAGTGTAAGAAAGAATTGTCATAGCTTCTATCAACAAAAAATATCCACAAGCTTAAAAGCAGTGCAAGGCCTCAAAACTAGAAAAGTGATTAAGAAAACTCTGCTCTCAACAATGCAATTTCAGTTTTAAATTACAGAAATATTTTCTATGTATTTCCACAGACACATATATACGGCAAATAATGTAATCCAAAGTCAAAAATCAACATCTTCCATGCCTGAAATGCTTTCATCAGAGTAACATGGAAAACAGTTTCTCACATGCATGCTAAGTGGGTCTACAAGATGTGCAGCAATGCTCATTTCGTATTCGGTAAGCTTGACGTTTTTCACTCCAATTTGCTTCATTAGTTTTTCAGCCTGGGGGAATAAAACACCAAAGGGGGAAAAAAAAAATCAGAGAAAAACTGGATGCTTAATTCAAAAATTAGTTTTTCAAGAACTGCTATTTGGAGTCTGAAAAGCTTCTCCATCAGTCACAACTGGAAAGAGGTTAAATCTTTAGGAAGCAGAAGGTTCTGCTATTTCCAAATGACTTCTTGTCACTTGAGCAAAACTAAGTCATATGTCTCAGTTCCCACCAAATAAGTGTCACACCAGCCCTCCCGCACTCAAATCCACAACCACACATTATGGCCTGAAAAGCAACCAAAACAAGCACTTTGCTGGTCAGAACAGGTTTGCAGACCCACAGGTAACCTCAGTACAAAATCACTTCCGTAATCTCTACAGGAGTTTCCAAAGCTGATACGGGCATATTACACTTTTAAAAAGCCCATTAATCCTTACAAACTTTGTACAACATTCAGATGAAAAGCTCAAAATTTGTTATTAGGAAGAAGTCGAATTTTTTCATGTGCTTGCTTATCTTCATTCACAATCCTGTAAATCATACATGCACACTTTAACAGGAGACATCATTGTATTACTGTGAAAAGCAAGCCCTCCTCCAAACTTCCACAGCACTTTATCCAGAAAAGATTAATATATTTTTATGGAAAAAAAATCGCACAGAAGCCAGTCAATTTTTTCTACATTTCTATTTAATGTTTTCTTTTTCCCAGTTTAAAAGGAAAAGCCATTCGTTGTGTCAACAGGCTTTCACAATTAGGTTTCTCTTTATGCTTAAACTTGCACTTAAGTCTGACAGGCTTTTGGGATACTGTAACCTCTTACCAAAAAGCTGGCACTAGCACGGGTTGGGAAAGCGGATTTTCAAAGTGGGGCCAATATTTTTAACTAGAGATTTCATTAAAGAAGAAAAACCAGTACTAGGTTGGTCAAAACTGCTGTTTGGATCTGCAAAATTTGTGTCAGCCAGAAAACAAAAAGGAAGTGCAACATTTCCTTCAAAACTTTCTAAAGGAAATATTTAACTTTTGGTTCTGAAACGCACCTAATCCTTTTCCCAGAGCATGAAACCCCATGGATCATTCTAGTTCAACAAAAGGAATGTTTTTTCACTTTTTTTTCCTCCCCTTTCCAGGGCATTTTAACTACTACTGGAGGTTTGGGGCGGGGGAGGAGGAGAACAGAGGGAGAAGGACAAAGTGCAAGACGTTCCTAAACAGGCATTTGGACAGCAGCATTCCTCTTTGTCACAAGTAACCGCAGACCCTGCCTCTGCCCTTAAGTTGCCAAAAAGCAGCAGAGAATGAAGTTATTTCTGCCCCAAGTTTTAAAAAGCAACCAAGAGACTGACGAGAGCGTTACTTCACACGACTGCTGCTCAGCAAAGTTGTCAGAAGCAGAAACGGCGCTGGGACCACACACTTGCGGGGTGTTGGAGACAACATCGCGCTCCAGTGCAACAGTTCCTCCACCGCTCCAAGCTAGAAATTTTAACTTGTTGTAAAATGTGAGGGCTCAAAACACTAACAGCCTAGATCCTGGGGTTTACTAAAAAAATAATTCTAGTCTTTCTGATTATTCCACATGCTTTTGTCAATTATTCTGGTGGTTATTACAAGTCCAGTTTTCAGTCAGCAGGCTTCCCTGTGTGAACAGTAAGGAACGAGACAGCATTTCACAGAAATATCTATGAATAAAATCCTACCTGTTTCTGAGCTTCTACTTTTTGCTTTCTGGTCGGATCAATGGCATCAACCATCCATTTAATGGTAAAGTATGTTACGGCACCAAAGATGGTTAAACGAAAAATTAGTCCGACCACTTCATTCCGGCTCAAGGGACGTGAAAATGCTTCGGCGTGGACCATTTTGCCTCTCAACTCTAAAGGTAGAGGGACAGAAAAGAAAATTAAAGCTGAGAAAACATCTGCCTTATATTTAAACAGCATTTTATTTCAAATATTTCCCACGCACACAGTAGGCACAAAGCTTACCAGGAGGCTATGACGAACTATCTCAACCCCATCACGTTAAAGTGCATAAGATTAAAGTGCGCAGTGCCGTGCACAACGATGGACTCGTTTCCACCTTTAGTAAGCAGAGAGGAAATGGCAGCAAGAATTTGAGACCTCACTTCTTGACTGCCTACGTGCAGAAAGGTTCCCATTCCCCTCTTCCCTCAAGAAATCTGCATTCCTCTCAGCGATACAATACCCTAATAAAGTAATAAAGATTACTTTATTTCAGTGCCAAGTTTACATTCTCATTAAGACTGACATTTTGTGACTCTTCCCGACCCAAGAATGCTAAGTCATGGAGATGAAGACAACTACATTATCTAAATAGGGAGTTCTTTTCCCTAAGTGGAAGTTTAAAGGGAAGGCACACAATTGTACATTAAGGAGCAATCGACAGCTTTATTTGAATAAAATGAGGTTAAGAGCTGGAGCCTGTGCCCAGCAGAATATATTTTGAGTTATTAATATCCCTGGAAAACTGAAAATGCTGGATGTGGCACACAGCTATCAAGGGAAAAGGCTGGCTGCTATACCAGCCAATCTCAGAAAGTACAGCACCTTCACGTTAAGGGAGCATGCTGCAGAGAGGAAAAACTCCCTTCCTAAACAGTGAAAAAACAACTTATAAAACTAGGTCCTCTTTCCCCAGTCTACTTTCTGTTCAACTGGAGGGCTTTCCACTTAAGAATCCCCAAAGCTGTCCTCGTTCACTGCCCGATTTTCCTCCTGCAAGGGCAAAATCAGTGGCGATTCCTTTGGCAGCTTCCAACACTCCCTGGCAGGTCTCCAAACTGAGCTGTCAGCCAGGGAAACTACCTACAGCCAAGATATCCTTGAATTCCCCCTCGCTTGGCTAGCGGTCGCGTTATGTCAGCTCACGGCAATGTCTACCATAGATTCTGTTACGAGGATTCGGCAGGCTGGAATTAGGAGAACTGCAGTAACGTCTACCAAATGACAGCAATAGGTCGCTACTATATTCCAGTGTGGATTGCTAAAATAGTTTGATTTTTGATTTTTTTTTTTTAAATCCTCATTCTCTGTTTAGAAATCTAAAAATCAAGGCTGTTGCTGAGCATAACTGCTCGGAAATCGATTAAAGTTTGCCTGCTTAGGCATCTAAGCGCCGCAAAGCTAGAAGAATCTGCATGTTCTCTTAGGCCTGACTAATTAAAATAAAAGGCTTATAAATTCAGTGAACAAGATAAAAAGCTTCCCAAAAAAGCCCCAAAACCCAACGAAAAACCCACTGCTCTTGCCCTGAATACCAATTCTACGAAAAGCCTTGAGCGGGAGAGAATTTTCAGCGTAACCTTTCTAAACGGCGTTCTGCTTACCCTGCCTGAATCTTAGCATTTATTTTGTAGGCAGCTCGCCGATACCGAGGACGGCAAACTGAACACCGGACTCTGGGTCCCCACGGCTCCGCCGTGTCCCGGTTAAGCTCCGTCCCTCGGCGGCCAACGCCTCAGGCATGGGGAGGGCAGGACAAGGAGAAGCGGTGCTGGCTCCTGTCCTGCCCCCACAGCGCGGCTGCGGGGAAAGGTCGGTCGCTGGTGGGAAGCCCTCGCCCCAACCCCGGCCCTCAGGCAACCGCTTCCCGCTCAAGGGCT